ATTTTACCTTGTTCAATGATGTGACCCAGAAACTGATAGATGTCTGAGCAAATGAGCATTTAGACGGCTTAGCATAAAGTTCATTCTCTCGTAGCCGATTAAAAACTTGCCTCACATGCTGGACATGTTCCTCCAATGTCTCGCTGTAGATTACTATGTCGTCCAAGTACACCACGACAAAATCATCTAAGAACCCGTGAAGTACCTGATTCATCATAGTACAAAATGTTGCTGGAGCATTTGTCAAACCAAAAGGCATCACCTTAAATTCAAAGGCTCCATATCTGGTTACCACCGTAGTCCTTGCTTCGTCTCCCTCCTTAATCCGAACTTGCCAGTATCCGGACCTAAGATCAATTTTTGTGTAATACTTCGCCCGACTCAGTCGATCGAAGCAATCTGCAACCAGGGGGATAGGATAGCTATTCTTTACAGTAATCTTGTTCAGGGCTCGATAGTCACAGCACATTCTAAGAGAACCATCAGTCTTTTTCTGAAACAATACAGGAGCTCCGTATGGCGACTTTGCAGGCACAATGATTCCACTCTCCAACATTTCCCCCAACTGCTTCCTAAGCTCTTCAAGCTCAGGCTGAGACATTCGGTATGGTGCCCTGGCGGGAGCTTTAGCGCCTGGAATAAGTTCGATCTCATGATCAATCGTCCTTCTTGGTGGTAATTTCTTTGGTAATTCTTCCGGCATGATGTCCTCAAATTCTCGAATAAGCCTTTTAACGGGTTTTGGAATAGGACCATTCGCCTCTTCAACCTCCTCTAATCGAAGAGTACACAAAAAGGAGGGTTCATTTCTCTTGAAACCTTTACTAAATTGCATGGCTGAGATACTCTTCTCGCCCATCCTCCCAACCTGGGTAGGGATGACACACGGCTTATTACCCATCATCATTAACGAATCGAAATATGGCAACACTGCTGTCTTAGTATCCCGAAGAAATTCCAATCCCAGAATAAGCTTCAAATCATCCATCTGAACTGCAGATAAGTTTGTCCTTCCCTCGAAAGGACCTGCTTTGATCAACACCGATTTCGCCACTCCAGCTATTGGTCGAGCAGCGGAGTTGATTGCTTTGACTTTTCCAGTACCCTTTTCTAGAACTAGTCCGAGCCGCTCTACTTCGGTACATGCAAGGTAGTTGTGGGTAGCACCAGTATCCACCATAGCCCTGATTGGCTTCCCATTGATTTTTACATCAATGAACATTAAGCCTTTGGCCCTACAAATATGAGCCTTCGCTTCTTCCATCTTTGCCTCTTTCAATGGGACATCATCCTTTTCAGCAACCCGATGCGATAGTGTGTTGCACCGATGTGAAAATGCCCCAACTACTTCCTCATCCTCTTCAGAGTCAGTCTCATTATGACAATTAGCTTGCGGGACCTCTTGTTTTGAACTTGGCCCGCCACTTGCTAACTGACAATATGCATTCACCATCCGCTTCTGAGGACACTCCGACACCCGATGAGGTCCTTCACATAAAAAGCACTTCAATTTTAGAGTGGCATCAGTTCGGCCCTCCGTTGCTTTCCCTTTGTTCCAGTTGTTACTATTACTGCCGTTAAAATTTCCCTGACGGCTGTTATGATAATTTCCCTGAAAGCCACGGGTGCTTTGATAGGCTCCTTCTCTATTTTGAGAGTAGCGCTCTCCCCCATTTGGGTTTGAGCTGGGTCTGTAAGATCTGTTACCACCTCCAATTGCTTGATTACTCCCCGAAGGTCAATCTTTTCTAGATTCTGTCTCGTAGTCGCTCAAGCATTCAGCGGCTCCCATGGCCGTGCTTAAATCAGTAATCTTCTGTCTTTGAAGTTCCGTGCGTGTCCACGGTTTTAACCCTTCCACAAAGGTGAAGAGCTTGTCCTTTTCTGACATATCTCGAATATTCAGCATATGCCCTGAGAAGGATTTCACATACTCCCTGATAGAGCTCGTGTGTTTTAGGTCTCGAAGAGCCCGTCGAGCTTGATACTCGACATTTTTCGGGAAAAACTGTGATCTGATCGCTTCCTTGAGGAGATCCCAAGAATCAATTCGAATCCTGTGAGCCTGAATGTCCGCATATTTGGTTCGCCACCATAGTTTTGCATCTCCACCCAGATACATGGTAGCTGTGGTTACCTTTCTAGCTTCATCTTCGATTGAAGCTGCTAGAAAGTACTGTTCCATATCAAACAAGAAGTTTTCGACTTCTTTTGCATCACGTGCCCCTCCGTAGGTACACGGTTCAGGAATTCTGAGTCTAGGAGCATACTCGTGTGCGGGAGCTTGCCCATTGCCCACCGCATGTTGGAGTACTCGCAATTGAGCTCTCAACGCTTCCATTTCATCCTGCAGATCAGGAATGATTGCAGCAGCTTCCGTCATTGCTGCGCAAGCTCTTTGGCTTTCATCCAATTGGATGTGTAATCCACGAATCTCAGATTCGGCCATCTCGACTTTTTCCTCGAGACCTTCCACAGCATAGCACAACCTAGTAGTTGTCTCATCAAGCGCATCCACGCGCTGTTTCGTAGTACCCTTCTTTTGAGGCTCTACCACTTCAGTGGTGTGTGATGTAATTGGATCCATAGCTTTCTTATCGAGGGTCATGAGCCGCAGCTCTGATACCAACTTTCACGGGGTGCCTTTCTTCTTGGCACAGAAAGGGACACCGTGCGGCAGTAGTCTGCTCCGTTAGACTACCTTACGCCTTTTCTCGGTCACGTCGGGACGAAAGAAGATTTGATTGCAATTTTGTAGAAAGCTTACAATTGAGAATTTGAATACATTGAAAGTAAATTGGACATTGATTGATGAAAACTGAACATTACAATTGATGAAAGCAGAAAATTACAAATGCTGGTGCAGGGGGCGGACACCAGTGAGCTTGAAAGATTTTTGAATGACTAATATCCCCTATAATAGCATTCTGAACAAAAACCCAAGTGACGGGAGTAGACGTTTAAAAGACGAGGAATCATACTAATCTTTTACCAATATCAGAGCTATTTTACAATTAAAATAACTATTACAATGAAACGAAAATTACAACTCAAACTTGAAGTAATATTTACAATGTGCGGCCGAAGTTGGGCAAACTGCGGCTGCGATAGTGTCAAGGGGCTAAGTAAAGCTGCGGTCCTTCACACGTGGAGATGTTAGTCCCTGAGGCCCACGAAAGGGCATGTTTTCCGAGGCCTGGATGTGTGGCTGTAAGTGAATACCTGTTCAAGGCAGGTATGCATCTTTTTTTGCACCCCTTCTTTAGGCCTGTGCTTAGGAACTTTATGTTGCCACCGACCCAGGCTCTGCCAAATGGGTGGAGCTAACTAGTGGGGTCATATTTTTTGTGGAAGGAAGTGTTGTTAGGAGAGGATATGCCTCTGGACGTCTTTCAGACCCTTTTTCAGCCTCGTGTGTTGGGTAAAGACGAGTCGAGGGGATGGTATTATCTCGCACCCTTCGTGGTGGGGCTGCCTTCTTCCATCAAGGGATGGAAAGAGTCGTGGTTCTAGGTTCGGGGAAAGTGGCAGGCGGTTGAGGGGGACAAGGTCATGGCTTGCACAGTACTGACCCAGTACTACGAAGCTCATGAGTGTCCAAGCTTGAGATTAAAGTTTCTAAGTGGTTTCTTAATTGTTTGCTAACTGTTGCCACTTATTTTGCAGATTCAAGTACGAGGTTTGAGCTCAGCAAGGGAGAGTTAGAGGTCATAGAGGACATATATAAGCGACTTTTGAAGTATCATCAGGTTCGACATATGTTAATATAGGTAATAGGAATGAAAATTAAGGACAGTACAAAAATCCAAGCAGCAACATGTTATAAAAGATGCAGCTAAAATATCTCTACAATGAAATAATACACTAAATACTTAAAGAGTGAGAAAGTGTTTGTGTAGAGTAGATAGATGAAGGAAATGGGATTGTGATAATTACTCTAGAATAACTTCGGTCAATAATCAGAATAGAAAAAGAAGAATGAAAAAAAAATGAAATGAAAACCGGTGATTACAAAGTAATCTACCAAATGTACAATATCTCTGGAGGCACCACTATTTGACCCTCTTTATGAACTGATGTTGATGCTAATCTTGCCTCCGGAAATCTGCTAACACTATGTTATTCAGATTGCACTCTCAAACCACCTATTGAATCAAAATCCAAGTTTTGCACATCTTCATTGTATTTAAAAACCCTTGGTGGAAGCCCCTTTCTGTCCAATTCATTGTCAGAATGCCACCCACTGGCTTGTGCTGAATAATATACTTTCTCTGCCACATAGTTTATATCCTTGTCACCTTCCTCGTTATAAGAAGAACTGTTAATTGACTCTGAGGTACTTTGCCCCAAACCCAGTTTGTTAATATCATCAGAGTTCCAAGACAAGTTCCTGGTTGTAACTGAAAAAGCCAGTTCATAAGAAGTGGAGGGTGAACCAACAACCGTCCGCATTAAGCCTCCATAGCATCATCCACATTAACTGTTTGGTCGAAAGATAAAACCAACTATGAGTTATAGGTACAAACAAAATATTTATGCATATAAAATTTCTTCCTCTTAAGTCCAAGATAATGTGCTGCAAGCTGCAACCATAACTTCCAAGGCCCAATACTCTGATCACTTAAAGAAGTTAGTCTAATTCAGACTAACAGTATACTAACAACTACATAGAACTTCAAGACACTCGACAACTTCCATTCTATCTTGAACACAACTAATAAAACTGATTAGCATTAGATCGCAAATCACGATCAAGGGGCATATTAGGTACTTGAAGATCAATGTCCTGACTACTGGCTACAATGTTAACAGAAGATTGCTTCCAATAAGAAAAGTCACTCACTTGCCAGAGTTCTCATCACGGAAGCCGATTTCTTGAATGAGTAACTCTTGAATGGTGAAAAACACAAATTATTTTGCACTCGAAAGAAGCTAAAAGTGTAGAATGGTTTTCAACAGAACGAATAAACACCTTGGAGGAGGGACTCAAAAAATCCCTTACTTCATGTTGCTCAGCAACATTGGCAATTGATAACATATCCTGGGAAAGACAATTTAATTAAAATGGCTATTAAATGGAAAGTCTAGCAATATGCAGAGAGTACTAGAGAGCATACTTGTAGATACTTGTCAAGCTGAATACAACGCTGATGAACAAAAGTATCCTCAGAGCTTGATGAGAATATCCTTTAGGGAGGTAAATGTAACGTATAATTTGGGATGTCCTTAAGATGCCGATGCAATCTCTCAAAATTCTGATACTTGAAGACAAAGTCCCAAATTAGAACTATCATTCGAGTAGTCTAAGACGAGCAATCCTGATCTTATTATGAAACTAAACTTGTTCTTGCACTGAGGCTGGAATAAAGTAGATCAATATGCAGGCAAAATATTTTAAGCAGAGCAATATTCAGTGATTCAAAATCGAAGTAACATCTAGACATTTTCACAAAACACTTATTGTCAGCATCAGTCACAGCAATTGATTAAACTGCAAAAGATTTTGACCCGTGTTTCTCAAAGTATACCCGAATAACCTGCAACAATATGAATCTATGTCAACGATGGTGTCATCAGATGACTAAAAAAATAATAATTATTTACCGCCATCTAAAAATTAAAAATAGCAGAACATGAAAATCCAGGCAACCAATCCATCTAACATGTGAAGATGGTTATTGTTAAATTTTCTTCCACATAATAGATCGTGCATGTAAATTTTAGAAAACTGGAGATAAATTTTTAGAACTACTCTCAATGGTTTAACGAATTCTACATAGAAGAAAAGAAGTGAGATTTTCAAATTGAAATAGAGGAATGATTGTACAAAGCATGGGTCATAATTGCAATTCAACTTCTAGAATTACATAAGCATTTTCAACCTGTACACACAGTCAACACACGCTTCAAGAACCTGAAAAGATAAGGAAAATGAGTTGTCCTACCCGGCACCTTAGCTTCGGATCATGCAGTCCCTCAGTGGGGACCAACATATCTGAGGCACCTTAACATTATATTGTGCCTGCTAATATTTGGATTATAAAATTCTGAAATGATAGGAGTTTCACCTTTGCTACCAAACATGTCTTCCATGTTCAATTGAACTTTCAAATCAGAAGTGCTATTTGACCTTTTAAACTGATTTCTATTTTCACGAGGAAAAACAGAAGTAGCATGCTCAAGTTCATCAGCAATAGACCTCTTGGAATAAACTTGCTTATTAAGATCCATATCAGTAAACCCCGTATCTGGTTGAGGCTTTAGAGGTAATTGAATAAGTACTTTATCTTCCATTCTTCTTGAAGTTTCAGGCTTTTGCATTGGTACTTCTGTCACTAAATCCTTTCTAAGCATGGTACTGCTTTCTAAAATTTTTTCTTGTGCAACCTAAGGTCCTCTGGCAGTATTCTTCTGGAGTTTCTTTTTGTAGTTTCTTCCAATTGTCCACATGTTTTCAAGATTTTCAGGCATAAGAACTTCTGTTCTTCTCTAGGTTGCAACCTCAAACACTCGAGCCCTGTCAGAAGATCGGTAGTGGTCAGACTCATCCTGAATTGTATTTGATACAGAACTTGAAGCATGAGTCGATAATATCTTTTTATCATCGAAACAGACACTTATCAATCCCTTGGTTGTGAGCAGTTACTTTTTTCCTCAAAGGAGATTCACTGCTTTGACCATGTGCAGCCTTTTATGTGAGGAAGGAAATAGTGTCAAAGTAGGACAAACTAAGAGAGTCAAGGTGCCAAGCTTGGACAAAACTACCACAAAACCTCTTTGCAGTCAGGTCTTGTCAGTTCAATACAATTGATACCATTAAGTGATATTTAGAAAGCCCTTTCATTATTAATTAATACTTTCGGGATACTCTATTTTTTCAATCAACAAATTCAACATATAATTATCAAGTCAACATGCCTTTAAATTGAAAATGTGTTTGGCCAAAATATTATATGCGCGACACGTTCATGAATGAGATCTAATTTATAATATGGCTGTGTTTCACAATCAATCATACAACTTCATGTAGATGATGTACATTGTGAATTTCTTGTCCACGGGAGTCTACAAAAACCTTTAATCTAAGATGACTACATATTCCAAAAGCATCGTTAATTGAATTGCCCCCAAAAATCTTGCTTAATTCAACAATTGATGTCACCCACATCACTAAACCATGTTACAAATGAAGGCGCATTCATGAAAATTAGAAAACTAAAAGAATATATGAAGACCACCTGTACCGTTGAAAAACTAAATAAAGTTTAAATCATCTAATTACTTTGCAAATAACAAAATACATTTATATGACTACTACAGGTAGAAAATGTAATCCTACTTAAACCATGTAGTTATGACCACAACAGGCAGAAAATGTAGATGATTACATGAGAAGAGAAAATTTTGACATGTTCTACAACATTAAACATGGAAAACTAAATATCCGAATACAAAATTAAGTGAGCCATAAAAACAACAATCAACAATCAACAAAGATATCATGTGAAAAACTTGTTCAACATCGATGATTCACTAGACATTCCAGATCAAAGGAATATAAACTAAAGGATAATACTGAGTCAATAGCCCAAAAAGGATCGTGAGCTCCCCTACAATTTTGTTCAAAATAAGAAAGACCATAAAATTCCTAGATACCAACGAAATCTACGCATGCATATAAACTAAAGGATAATACTGAGTCAATAGCTCAAAAAGGATCGATAGCTCCCCTACAATATTGTTCAAACTAAGAAAGACCATAAAAGTTCCTAGATACCGATGAAATCTACGCATGGTCGAGATCTTGAATTACAAAGGAAGACGACTTTGTCTCTATGTTTTCCCTGGACTGTCATCGAATCATCCATCTTTTTTAGAAGTCATGAAAGTTTCGATGTCCCATATTCGAAAACACAAAGAGACCTCCCGTACATTTTGTGGTATACTACAGGAAGCCGGATTAGAGGTAAACATCCCTCTGACAATTCAAGTAACTTTACGAGTTGTCCGCGCAAAACATTTAGATCCCTCTGTTGTACCTGGGTCAAGTCATTCTGGTCACTAAAAGCAAGTGCACCTACTGAAACTTTGTCCAGGGTACATGTAAAAGTTTGTGATGTTGAAGTCATAGATTCTGATACTAAATTATCATTACATTCAAATGTAGAATCTGATATCACTGGAAATCGAGCAACAATTGCACTAGCCTGTGGCACAAACCCATGCCCACGAGCCACATTAGACCAATCCCATAGAAATCGACTTGCATTACTCAGAGTCGACGAGACTCCCACACTCAATGGAATAACAAGGATAATAGTATATCCACGTTGACCTAGTACATGAAGTGGAGGAGCAAAATCTCTCTCTCTCGAGATTAATAAGATTGATGGGGGTGGGCGATTGTCAAGAGCAAAAGAGAACATGTCGGCCAAAATTTTCTTGTAGGCAGCATCGTAGGGAACACCTAGAAGTTTGACACGTATCATCTAACACCCCTTTCTTAGTCGCCTCGAAAATACACTAAAATCTCCATATGCTGAAATTCACAAAAAGAGGTTAAATCACTTGCCTTTGTTTTGCTTGTCTTCTACACTTTCTTGTGTTCACCCCTTGGTCAGAAATTCAATTTCAAAGGAAGGAATTGGATAGCCACAATTTAATAACCAATTTAGAGATGATATACTACCAAAATCAAGCCACCACACTCTTGTATTTTTCTCTCTACATTGCCATACGAATTTATATGCGTTCGTTTTATATATATGGGAGTTATGGGTTGTGGAAAGTTGCGTTTCAAATTCAATTTTCTCAATTCCTCAACTTTTCCCTCCAGTAATACTCTCATGCTATTTGGGTCAGGTTGGGTTAGCACACATGGGCTACCCGTCTTCTTTCAACATATCTCACTCGCATATGATGGATTTAATCTAATTCTAATATAATATCAATTAAAATTATTTTAGCATCTCCAAGTTCATATTGGTAAATAGATCATGCTACCAGCGAGTTAATTTAAGGGTACAAAACCCTATACACCTGTTAGGAATGTATACCAGCTCTAGAAGAGGGAATGTATTTCTCGCAATACCTCAGACATATTTTGTAACACCATTTCGAGTATTTCCACCCCTCAATTGATCAAAAAACATACTCAACTTTCTAATCTTTATTGTATTCACACTTGTATTGTAAACTCAAACTATTAACATAATTGTTCGGCCAGTGAATACAAGTTGAGGTGCTAAATAAAATTGTCTTCCTTTTCTACTTGAATCCCATAATTTCAAGTCAATTACTTTCCTAGACATGTTCCATCAAACTAAGTCAACCATAATTATTGGTAACATGCTAAAGTAGCAAACATCGAAATAAAATTATGAGAAACAGCCAAAAGTTATAAAGGTATATAAATGAGGTCAAATGTGCCTCAAACTCAGAGAATGAAGAAGTGGGGATCAATTCTTTTGTTTCTCATTAGTCGTTAAAGCAAATGTGTTAAGATATTTTTTCTCTTTCTTAGGGCGTATGTCTAATCTTACAAATAAAATACATTGTAAATATCATAGTTCAGATATTCCTCAATATCTAATACGAGTTCTTTTTATATTATTCCTCTAGGAAATCCCAATCGAGAAATGATTTGGCTATAAATAGGTCTTATCGATAGCAAAAATTCATATCGATTGCTTGTTGTAATCTCTTCTGATATCTCTTCAAGGCGACTAGATCATGTTTACAATATGATCACTTTGTCTTATCTTAGTACACCTCAAAGTGTCTGAGGCAATCACTCATGTGAGTAAACAAATCTCAACCTATTTGACATACTTTATGTGTGCATATTAAATGGTAATCTAAAAATCACAAGAAAATATTACTCTTAATGTATGAACTCAAAACATTGTTCATTAATGCACTTATATGAAAAAGTTTACATAATACATAATTCAAATTTTATGTAATCCCAGAGTTTTAACATTAATCATAAAAATATCTCTAGGTAAGATTTTGTAAATGGATCAGCTACCATTTGGTGCGTAGAAATATACTGCAAACTCACTTCTTACTTTTCTATGATTTCTCTTACCAAAGTATACTTTAAATCAATGTGTTTGGTTCGCTGTGATAGTTGTTATCCTTTGTATATACAATAGCTGCCTAACAATCATAGTAAATTAATATATATCCCACATCACGACTAAGGACTCTTAGATATTGTAAGAATCTCCTTAACCAAACAGCTTCCTGTTCCACTGAATCACATGTTATGAATTCTGCTTCCATTGTGGACAAAAAGTACATGTCTGTTTCTTGCTACGTCAAGAGATAACGTCATTATTAAGCAAGAATTACATATCACACAGTCGAGTGGACCATTTTCTTGTGACCACTAGAAATACATCCCATAAATGTCCCTATGATCACCCAAGAAGTATCCAGTGTCAATAATCATAATATCATAAAAGCACAGTCAAATGATCCACTCTCTCGATGATCACCAAAGGCACATCTCCTATCTACCCTGCAATCACCTTAAAAGTCTTGCCTTCAATGTCAAAACATATCATATAAGCATATCTCACATGCTTCGGTGACCTAATAGTGGTCGTTTGAGCATTTTATAATGTAAATTCATTTTTTTCAATCATGTCGTGCATGCTAGATTTTTAACGATGGACATATGTCGTGCATGCACATGCAAATGCTCGTGATTGGCATGTTCAATCAATATATTTGGGAGCCACATGCTCAATCATTGTAACCATTATATGGTATGCTATGATCTCCTTATCAACTTTATATAAATATCGCAATAATACTCCATAGAGAATATTACACGAATATTATGTCCTCACATCAAAGTTGTAAATGGATTTTTACTTAACTTTTTCCTTTGAGTGTGATCTTTCTACAGGTGTAGGTCAAGTCCCCTTTTCACCTAATGTCGGAAGAAAACCTGTGTTACCATCTAATATTAAACACGATCGTCAATTCAATAACCCTAACACACACACAACCCCTTAATATGAACATTAATAACAAAATAGTTTAGTCAGCGTTATCACTTCAAGTTACCAATTGTACTCTAAAACAATCTAAAAAATTCCATTGTTTTCTAAGTCCAATTATGAATCTAATTGTTTCTAACGACCAAACACTTATGAAAATTAATTTTCCAAATCTTAGAGATGATTAATGAAAATGTAAAGGTTGAAACTATGCAATTTATTAATTTGGACAGAATATGTTGTTAAGTTTTGGTTGCTGCCCTGTCTAGTTTCATCCATCTTTTGCACCCTTAATCACAGTCATTCCTTCCCAAACTTTTACCTCACCTATATAACATATATGTACAGGTAAATATATTATTAAGTAACCACAAGTTTGGGGATCTACAACCTGAAAATCAGGTCCTTTTACTCAACACAGAATTAGAATTTCATCATGGCTATTTTGAGTTTCACTTGGATTAACATACCACAATTCAGATTCTAATCTATTAAAGATCATTTATATACTTCTAACTTATATGCAAAAATATTCATATTAATAAATATAAGTTGTACCCAAGGGATTATTTAAAATCAAAGTTAACTCACTAAAATTCAGTAACTATCAAATCTCTATCCATGTTGATTTCCTTCAAGTTTTTGTAATCAATTACCCCTCTTTTGCCACTATAAATTCACCAATAAAGTCCAACATAATCTCAAGTAAGGTCAGAGGTTATAAATAATGAACAAAAATCTCAGAACAGTGAACTAACTCAGCTGCCTAAAACATTTGATTCCAGCTTCTTGTTTTCTACTTCTCTTGGGCTCTTTTGCTCTCTTTTTCACTTGGAATCAATTGGGAATGAGTTGAAAGAGTTAATCTCTTATTTAGGAGGTCAAGACTTTTCTTTATAATACATACAGTACATAAACTTCCGTCAAAACCCTCCTCTAAATGGTATCAGAGCCTTTATTATGAAACAAATTCATAGAGGTAAAAATTTTAAGACAATTAATTTGTTTAATTAATGAAGATATCTCTAGAAGTAAGAGTATAAGAGATAATTTAAATTGTTAATAATTTAAATTATTACAAGACAATTCAATACTTGAATAATGTAATTCAAGAATTTAAAGACAAAAGACAAGTTTTAACTGAAAGGTTAAAAGACATAGGATATCTTGCAGCATGATAGATTGTCATAGCTGCAATACTCAAATACTTATATTTTCTTCAGAATATGAAGTTTATATATTTGTTACAAACAAATAAGACAAGAAATAAAATTGTTAAAGCAAAATTGAATGAGATCAATGCTTTACATAAATACAAATATAGTGTTAGAACTTTTATTCTACATTATATTGAATGTCATCATTAGATATGGAAGAAGAAAACCATACTAATGAACAAATTGGACAAATTGATGAGATATGTGAGCAAATTGAATCACAAGGTAATTTCTCAAAAGAAATTATGATTTCAAATAAAAAACTTGCTCAGATTTGCAAAACCAAACTTGCAATCGAACCAAAAGAAATCTTTTCTCAAATAGGTTTCTTAGAAAAGTTTATGAAAAGAAATAAACATATATACTATGATGTATCTCAGAAGGAGTTTGCCATACATGTACAACATACTTATGGTAAGATAGGAATATCCTTACTTACTAAACAAGACATAAATAAAGCTAAAGAAAATATTGACCTTGACAATAGTAAGAATCTATACTCTATCAGAAAGAATCCATCAACCAATATCCATGTGTTTGATTGATGAAAGAATCCAAAATCCTAATGAAGGATGCTTAGGATCTCTTGAAGGGAATCTAGCATGTGGAAAAATAATTTTTACAGTTTATCCAAGACTTTCTGTAAGTCTATCATAAAAGATTATTGATGCATGGAATAGTCATTTAATGATAGCCATGATTGTCAATAAAGAAATTATTAGACATGAAGCTAATTCATGGAATTATGTCCTAGCAAGTACCAGAGGTAATGCTAGATCATTTTTAGAAAAATTTGATGATAATGTTAAAAATACTATTTGCGCTAATTCTCAATATAGTATACCACAATTTATTAAAAGAATTGTTGAACAATTATATAAACAATTTACTGGACAAACTTATGAAGTTTTTAAAAGTAAAAAAACAACAATTGAAATTGCTGATGCACTTAATCACTTAGAAAAAATAAATATATGTGATATGTGTCATTTTGAATATTATGCAGGTGGATTTTCAAAATATTTCTACATTTGTCCTAATAACAAATGGAATGAATTAATAGAAAAGTTTATTAGAAAACTTCCTGAACCTTTCAATCATGAGGTAATGAAACTTTTTAATAATGCTATAAGTAAACAAGAAGATCATATTGATCCCCAACTCAATTTAAAGATTCATGGATCTTTAGGATTGGTTGTAACACTTACTAGAAATCTTCTTGCAGATAAATGCAAAGAAAGTATTTTAGTAAGGGATAGT